ACGCTGCAGTCTTTATTTATTTATTTATTTATTTATTTATTTATTTATTTTGCTGCTGTCTTTAAATCAGACTCTATGCGCCTATCTCATTCATTCTTTTGATGAAAATATTCGCAGCTCTGCTTCGACCACCGTGAAATGTGGGGACGCTTTTCCTAGCCAGCGTCACCCTGCTGTGCCACCCCTCGGTCACTGCTGCTCAGCCCTCCTCTCCCGGCCCCCGCCATTCTGCCTGTGTCCAAGGCCCGCTGCTGCAAGTCTAGCACATCCCGTGCTGCTCGCCCTTCCGGGCCTGGTTCATTTTATTTTCATCATGTTGAATGCCCTCCAGCGCCACCCACGCGGTCCCAAATGACACGCGATTTTATTAGTTTTATGCTGGATGCTATGCCACTGTGCACATGTGCAGGGTAAGCTTGGTGGCATCGATTTGGAGCCACCAGGGCCTGGAGGACACACGTCTGGGTGTGCCTGGTGGCCATGGGGGCTGCCCTGAAGCACTAGAGGAGCTGCCGCGCCCGCGCACACGCTCTGCCTCACTCTGCGTTCTAGCCCCGGAGAGCGGAGCAGCTCTGCTCTGCCGCCCTTCTGTGGGGCCTTCACGCAGCAGGCCACGACCTGAGCGCCCCTAAGAGGTGAGCCGGCGCGCACGGCCTTTCCTTTAAGTTGCGGGTGTGGGGCTTTATGTCCAACCTCACGAAAGTTGAAAAATACATTCACACGTTTACCCATCGTTTCCATTTCTCAGCCACAACAAGCACAGCAGTGCCGATGCCTGCTCCACTTCTCCGGGTGCACGTCCAGTGGTGGGATTGCTGAGGCTATGGTAGTTCTGTTTTTAATTTTTAGGCACCTCCACGCTTTTTTCCACAATGGCGATGCTGACTCTCATTCCCCCTGCAGATCTTTCCTCCTCCAAATAGGAGCTTTCCGATCTGGGTGGATGGTATCTCTCTGCAGTTGCAGTTTGAGTTGTCTAATGGCTGTGCTGTTTACCCTTTTGTCTTACATCCTCGGGTCACTTGCGTATCTTTTTGGAGAAATGTTTGTTGCAGTCTAATGCTCCTTGCTAAATGTTGGTTGTCTTTTACTGTTGAGTTGAGTTCCTTGTGTGTTGAGGGTGTTAATCACTTACCCAATGCCGGGTTTGCGAAGGCTTTCTCCAGTTCTGTAGGTGGCTCTTCGCTGTGCTGACTGTTTCTGTGGCTCTGCAGGAGTCTGATGCCATCCATTTCTCTATTTTAGCTTGTTTCCATTCTTCACAGGTCTTCTCTGCATGCCAAGGTCCTGAAGTGTTTCCCTTGTGTTTTCCTCTAGTAGTTCCACAGTTTCTGGTTTCCTCCTGTGTCTCATCTTATTCTATACCAGAGCCACCCTTAAACAGAGCTCTATTTTGGAGATCACAACAAATAAGATAATCTTTAGTAGATAACATAGAACTGTAGCCTAGTAGGACAACATTCTAAGTTTCAACATTTCTCTAATTGGTTTCTAGTTGGTTACGGTACCTGGCGGGTGATAGGCATGTCGTTTCCTTCCTCTGCATGAGATACCCAGCTTTCCCAGCGCTGTCCTTTCTCCAGAGTGGGCTGTTGGTGCCCTCACCACGTCAGCGGGCCGTCGGTGTGCGGGCCGTCGGTGTGTGGGTCCACCTCCAGGGCCTGCACTCGCTCGGCTCCGTTGCTCTGCGTGCCTTTTGTGCCCTTGCCCACTGTCCTGTTTACAGCAGCCTCCTGATGCATGTTTTGTCAGGTCACCATGTGCGTTTTGCTGGACATTGCTTTGGCTGATTGCAGTTAGTTTGTGTGGAAACGCTGACCATTTTGTACTCTATTTGCTCACCAATTTTTACCCTAAACCTCTGATGTTTTTCTAGGCTAAGCAGGCTGTTCTCTGTGAGTGGGGTGAGAGAGCCCCATGGCGACCTGACCCAGGTCCTGTGGCCCCTCCAGCACTGTGGTGTGGACTCCAGGGAGCACAGGACCATGCTCAGGAGGGCAGAGGGCAGAGGGCTAGGAGGACCAAGTCCAGGCCAGCCTCAGACGTGGTCTCTTGGGGCCACGTGTCTCCCCTCACTTTCCTTTTCTTCCCCCTTAGGCAACAGCAATTCCTTCAAGCATTTTAAATTCACAAATGACACAATTTAACTGGTCTTTCACCAACAAAAAGCTTGACAGTGATTGGAATTTAAGCATCCAGTTCCACCAACCTCTTTCCGCAGCGTGACTCTGAGTAACTTTAATTCTCAACAAAGCAGGGGTAAGATAGCTGGGGAGATAACTTGGCAGTCTAAGCACCTGGCTGGCAAGCACAAGGACTGGAGTTCAATTCCCAATACCACGGGTCGTGCTGGCTCCAGAACCCCAGGCAGATCGTGTGGGCCCGAAACCAGGTGTGGTGGCATATACCCAGTGCTGGGGAGGCTGAGACGAGGGGATCACTACGAGTCCAAGCTGCATATCAAGACCCTATGCCAAATAAATAAATGAATGGATACATAAATTTGAAATATGGGTAAGCACTCTGCCTCTGGCATCCAGGTTACTAGGATTGGACCAGGGAGGATGGCGCACTTCTGCCATAGAAAAGTGGGATTATACAAACAATATTTGTTATCCCTACTAGCCCAAAGCTGTGGAAAGGCGTAGCCCAAAGGCACAGTCCCCCAAGCACCCCTGAGAACACAAACCGAGCAGGGGCTCAGATTCAGTCCCCCTCCTGGGGCAGCTGCGGGGCGGCAGGAGCCCATCTCAGGAACGCCTAGTCCTGGCAACAGGACAGAGGGACTTGGCTCTGGGGAGGGCACAGGCCGGGGCCAGGGCGGCACTGGGGTGTCGCTCTTGCTCAAGTGATGAGAGCCTGCCCAGGGATGCTGCAGTGAGCAGGGGATGTCAGCCTGACGTGCACATTGCTCCAAAGCCTGAGTACTGGTGACATGTCCCTGATGTGACACTTGGGAGCCCCTCACCAGGCCCTTTCCTGGGTTGGGTGCAGTGCCCCTGCGCCTAGTCCCAGCAGTGGGAGCGGGGTGTTCGCTGGATGTTCAGAGCCTAACGCGTTTCGATATAGTTAATGTTTCATTTCCCAAAGTGCTAATAAAAGTTTACAATCCTGCAGAAAACAGATTCCTTATTTTTTAAAGCAATGAGTATGTCTTACTATATTTAAATTTAATAATTCAGAGTACTCCTGATACATGGCCTCATTTCTTTCTTCAGATGGGTAAAATTATATGAACCTGCTTAACCTGTGACATCAAAAATTCTATATAAATATGTCTGAAAGTGACAAATTATGAAATTTTACCATTTAATGGTTTTATTTTGGTTCCATAGTGTCACAGCAAAATTTGGTGACTATTATACAGACCACAGATTTGGCTGAAGTTTATTACCAATTCCTTTACGTGCCGGACTGTTTGATCTGAGCAGTTGTATTGTCCTCTCCTGGCACCACCCGGCTTCTTCAGTGCCCGTCATCACACATGAATACTCTTCTCTAAAATTTATTTTAGGTTTTGAAACTAACCTGAACCTGACCACCCCGGATGACCCCAGCACGTCAGAAATCGCCTCAGAGACTCAGGACAGGAACGCAAACAGCCACAGAATTCAGTTCTCTAATCCACTGCCCAGTGCTGTGGCAGCTGAAAATGGAAATCCTGTCTCCAATGGTAAGCACTTTGAAACTCAAAAGTAAATGCAAGGAAGTTTGAAACTGTGTCAACTTTTTAGAAAAAAATAGATTTAAAATATAAATGTGCATAGATTTAATAACTGGAAAATAGAACATAAATTGTCAAACTCTACTAGGGCATTGTTGTCAAAATACTACGGTTTATGTTGGGGACTAGAATTTCATTCACTCTTTGGAGAATTTTTGCAGATGTGTCTGCAATGCTGATCCATCAGAACTGGCATGAAATTCATCATATATGGAGAAGAAAGGGGAGATGGATATGCTTCTAGCATTGTTTAATTTAAAAATATTTTCCATAACTAAGAAATGTGGAGGAAAATGATCCTGGAGAAATGGCTAGCGCCGTGCTGCTCTCGTTTTCCTAAGTGCAGCAGTGGATGTCGCCTAGAAATCAGCCTGAGCGTGTGTCTGAAACTCTGTGAGCAAATATTTTCCTTCACATATAAAAGAAGCCTGGTGTTATGGTTTGTGTCTAGTTGTCCCCCCAAAGCCTCATGAGTCATGGGGTGAGGACTTCTAGAGTTTGTGTTAACTCATGATCCACTGGGATTATGTGTGATCCAAGGCTGGGATTATGGGTTTTAGTACTGCTGGGATTACCCATAGCTGGGTAAGTACTGGGAAGTACCCATAGGTGTGAGTACTTCCCCTACTCTGGGGCAGGTAATTTGCATTACAGTGTAAGGTGGGAAGATAGGCTAGCTGCTTGAGCTGCTGCTACCCCTCCCTTGCACTTTTGCTCTTTGCCGCCACCATGAAAGGTTGCTTTCTGCTATGTGCTGCTCTGCGTTGGACCCAGCTAAGTATGGACTGAAACCTCCAGTAACTGTGAGCTAAATAAACCTTTCCTTCCTTCATTTTGAGTGTCGGGTATTTGTCCCAGCAACGAGAGAAGAGTAACTAAGACACTTGGTGACAAACATCAGACCAGCCTTTCCATAAAAACATTCAGAAGGGCTGAACAAGGATGTTCTTTAGTCCAATGGAAAGCAGAGGAGCAGCCTCAGGACCAAGCTGGGAAACAGCTGCCTCAGGCTCCCGTGAAGCTGTCAGCCGACAGGGACACACGCCTCACCCCAGGGGTGCAGGGTCTCACCAGGGGATCACAAGTCCCCTGTGCTCCTCACTGCCTCCTGGGATCACAGGGGTAGGGACCATGTCCATGGCCTTGGGGTGTGGCTGCGAAGCGGCCACCCAAAAGTCAGTGCACCAGAACTCAGACCCAAAGCTCGGCTGTGGATTGCTCAGCCTCAGCGTGGTGTCCTGGCATGGCGGGGTCCCCAGGTGCCTGGAGAAACACACCGAGATCTGTCCCCAAGGACAGGAATGGCGGCTTGGGATTCAAGATATTCTTCACCAACCATTTCTCTAAAACAAAATCCAACACACACTCAAGAATAACCAGACACATGATAATCTGGGAAATCACTGATTATTGTCAACTGCTTATTGCAGTCAATTATAGGACATCAGTCACGTACACCTTAGAAGTCTATGTGCTTACCTCCCAAATAAGTGTGACAGAGACTCAACAAAAGCGATCAAAGGGAAATTCTGAAGCTGAGAATCACAGTAATAGAATGAGACAATCCTTAACAACAAAACAAAGACGCCAGGGGAAGCTGCTCGCCATCTATAGCCAGATGCTTGGAAAACAAGGACCACGCGTGCTTGGAAGTCGACCTTGAAAGTAGGCTGAGCAAGAGAAGAGGCGTCGCCACCCAAGGTCACCACGGTGCTTCACTCACCAGAGCACATGGAATACTGCCAGCCTGAAACCCTACAGATACCAAAAATCCCTGTTACAATAAAAGGATAGTTTTAGGAGGAAAAGAAAAAAGGGGCCAAACAATGAGCCTGAGAAGGTTTGGAGATACAGTAATGACAAAGACAAGTAGAGGCAGGAGAGGGCGAAGCTGCTAAGTAATGCCATGCTCTGAGAACGGGTCTCAGCATTATGTCTGTGGCAAGCACGCATGGGACGCGTAGCTCCAGACCAATAAGGGAAGTCAAAGCAAATGATCAAGCACTTGGTCAACCCAAAAGGTGGGGAAAGAGGGTAGAACAGCGGTACCTGAGAGGCAGCAAAAGATGAAGGTCTCAGGTGATAAATAGAAGAGCACGTAGGAAATGAAGTTTTAAGATTACCTTAACTTTAAAGCTCCGTTTACAGTGCATCTACGGCAAAGAAAATTGATAATGTAGTGCTTTGAAGACGAAGACATATGAAGCACATGGTTCCGAAGGCAGCTGTGAAGGGAGCCGTGCGCGCGAGTGTGCGCGGGACGCGATCTTCATGAACCCGGGACTTAAGAATTACATCTCTAAGGAGTCGACAGGCTCGAGAGAAGCTCACCAAGTAAACGAGAGCACATCCGGGTGCTTGCGCAAGACGGCCACCTGTGGAAGCGTCCTCACGGGTGGAAGCGTACACCCGTAAGCACTGTACTGTGACGCGAGAGCGGACGCAAGCCAGCACTGAAGACGCCAAGAAGCTAGAAACGTAAGGTTGAGCCCCAGTGAAGCAGAACAGGGCCTACCCAGTAGCTCAGTTGTTTAACTGCCTGCTTAAACAAAGCGGAAAGAAAGATATAATAAAATGAAGCATGTAATTTGTTGAAAAGTAAAAGAGCAAAGCATTGGTTTTGTTCTTTGAATAAAACTATCATAGAAAGCATTAATAGAACTGATGGTCAGACTGCCTGCCAGGTGGTGGAAGGAGGTATTAAACGTGAGGCGCAGAAGAGGGACTCTGGCCCATCTCGTGGAAATTAAAGAACTATAATCAAGGAACATGAATAGCTTATTTTTCAAAAAAAGTAAATTTACATGAGAAAAACACATTTCTCAAAAAGTAGAACTGGGCTGGGGATAGAGCTCAGTGGCACAAGTGCCTGCCTGGAAGCACAAGGTCCTGAGCAAAAAAAAAAAAAAAAGAATAAAAGAAAAGCAGAACTACCCAAAATAAAGAAATAGGAACCCTAAATACAGCTTTAAATATTAAATTAATTTAATGGATGACTAGACTACCTTCTCACCAGGGAAACCCTTAGTTTAAATTCTTTCTCCAGTAAATTCTCTCAAAGTTCTGAGGAAGAAATGCTGCCCACACTGGACACACGTGCTGGGAGGAAGCAGAGACTCCCGGCTGGCTCTGGGCTGCCTCATCGAGAGGGAAGTGCTTCCTTGTGGAGGCCGGACTTGCTCCAAAGGCGGGTGTCTCCCCACCTCAGGATGCGTGAACCCGAAATCCCGGGTGGATTCCAAGTCTCCATGCCAAATGTAAAACAATAAATTTCTGAAAGAAAATACAAACAGAGGCCTTTATTGTCTCAGAGAAAGGAGAAGAAAGGGCTTTCTCCGAGGACAGAGAAGGCCATAGAGCCACAGAGCGAACGCTGTGAGTTGGGCGGAGGCTGTCTGAGGCCGAGCCAGCCACCGGGTCCTAGTTAGAGCGGAGGAAGTTAAGAGCAAAAGACCGCTCAACAGAGCGGGCCGAAGACGGAGCAAGCGTGTCCGCAAGCACGCGGCGGTGGGCTTGCAAAGGCAAGCGCAGCTCGGCCACCCTCGGTGCTCCACCCCGGGGCGGTGGCCGCGGGCGGGCGAGGGTGCAGCCCCGAGAAGGACTTCCACCGCGGAGGGCAGACAGTCCCCTCGAGGAGGCAGCGTCAGTCACGCCTGGGAAGTGAAGAGAGGACACACCTGGCTTCTGGTGGCTGGAGACAGTTGTCTCTTGACTTGTGGGGTAGTGACAACCACATGATGAAGAAAGCACACAAAGGGGAGGGGGA